TTCTCCAGTCGTATCTTAACATGTTCGGCACAAAAGAAGAAAAACATTTGGATAAACAATTTGGAGTTCGAAGAGTGGATGACCAATGGAAAATTGGAAATGCTGAGGTGATCTTCAATGGAGATACAATGACTATTGGTGACAAACAGTTTCGCTTAACTTCAGGTTTGGCATATTTGATATTCCATAGAGATGCAGAAACCGCTAATGTGACATCAACAGATCAAATGCACTATGGTGAAATTCAGCGCCGTACGAATGCACATCGATTGTACTATGATCCAAATAAGGCAGTGAGACGCAAAAATCCAACGGAAAAATTTTTGAATATCATTGAACCTCTAATTACACCGTATGAAAAGAGCGGTAAAGGGCTAATACCAGACCTTATGGTGGCTCTAAGGACAATGTCCAGGAAAATGGATTATATTTACTGGGATAATCCAAATGAATTGGTGGATAGACTCCGCTTGCTCATGGCATCTCAAGCTGCCGGTAATCCCAATCAGTCCAATGAAATTCTCTCCATTATCGAAGAACTACGTGAAGCTGGAATTATATATTAAAGTTTACACTCGCGTGAATCATCTCATTCTCATCATGAGTGTCGATGTGTTTGGACGACCATTATCACACAGCAGCAAGCTCACCACTGTTGGAAGACGAGGTCCGCCAGGTGATGGATTTACACGTACTGCTGAAGTGAATTATAGTTTCGAAGGAAAGAGGTTATGCCATATTGCTGATCCAGTAGTAGATTCTGATGCTGTTTCGCTGCATATTTTGCATAAACGTCTGAAAGCTGAACGTGATACAGTTGTGCAGAAATTGGAAGCCCAAGAGAGAAACATCAGGGATTTGAAAAGTGCATTCACTAAGCGTTTTGTGAGAGTCGAGAAAAAAATAGGACTTCACGAACGTGCAATTCCCAAAATTAATAAACAAGAAAATGGAGTCCAAGAGGCGAACAATAGCAGCGAAACTTCATCGCCCGGCTCGACGAAACTACCCAAGAAGACGCGTTGAGGTTCGTGCCCTGGATGAAACGTGGCAGGCTGATCTCGTGGATATGATCAAATATGCACACAGCAACAAAAATTATCGCTATCTTCTAACGGTAATTGATATTTTCTCCAAGTATGCATGGGCCATGCCCATTAAATCAAAAAGTGCCAATGACGTTGTGGATGCCATGAATCTCATCTTGCAAGAGGGGCGTATTCCAAAAAAACTCCATGTTGATCAAGGCAAAGAGTTTTACAATAAAAATTCTCAAGCTCTCATGGGGGAGCATAAGATACATATGTACTCAACTGTCAGCAGGCTCAAGGCATCGATATGCGAACGCTTCAATAGAACATTGAAAAATAAAATGTGGAAACAATTCTCAATTCGTGGAACGTACAAATGGATTGATACTGTTGGTGATTTAGTTGCAGACTATAATAACACGAAACATCGTACAATAAAAATGAA